GGGCGGCCCCGGCCCTCCCCCCGCTGTTGGGGCCCGCCCCCCCCGTGGCCCCTGCCTCTCCAGTGGTGCCTCGTGGTCTCCAGGACCCTGGAGGGTGGCATGTGGTGGGCTGAGCCAGCCCCGGGCATGGGTGGGAGTAGTGGCATGTGAGAAGGCACCAGCGAAGCTTGGCATGTCTGGCAGCCGCGGGTGCAGGGCGGTGCTGGAGGAGGGTGAGAATTCAGCCCTGGGAAATACTCTCCATCCCTGAGAACCAGATGGTTCAGGGACATGAGGCTTTGCTGGTGCTCCTCAGAGCCGCACAGCTCCTACCCCACACCAAGGGCCTTGGGACCTTCCCACAGTCACCCACGTCTCTCTGAAGTGTGGGGGGTCGCCCCTGGGTCCCCAACCTCCTGCCTCTTATCCAAGCCAGGCAGCCTTCATGAATCCCAGCTTTTATCGCCCTGGAGCATCTGCAGGAGGCAAAGTTCAGGGTGCCGGGAGGTGGCGAGGCCTGACTCATGGCTGGGTGCCACCGCTTGCCGTCACACCAGGTGACGCGCCAGTCAGCTCTGTCTGCAGTGCCCGGCCCGTCAGGGACCCAGACAGTGTGAGCAGTGCTGGGATGCCAGTCTTTGCCCCATTAACCCTCGCGTATGAGTAGGGACTGGCTGCAAAATCAAGCTTTGCTCAGGGGCTCCCTAGCACAGACCGCGACCTAGTCACCTCCCTACCTGTGACAGTCCCATAGTCATCCTCACTCATCTCCTGAGACAGGGACGCTGGTGCCCCGTCTTGGAGGTTGCTCAGGCACAGTCGATTTGGAGTGTTTTGGGGGCCCAGGGGATATGGGAAAGTGTCTTGGGAAAGGGTCCATTTAAGGCACCACTTCTTGCTCCCTTTCTCCCAGCCTTTACTTGCTTCTCCCCTTCCTCACCACAGGTTCTGAGTGGATGCTGAAGACTGAGACATCCGTAGGGACTTTTGCTGCTTCCCGGCCCACCTGCCTCCTCCTGGAGGTTGTTCTTCCCAGCTGGGCACCTGCAAATCCACCCTTTCCTCATGTCCGCTCCAGCTCCTGGCAGGAGGGGGTGAGTGGGTGCTTTTAGAGGCATAGAGGAACAGGGAGGGACATATTTGGTATCTTTTATCCCAGCAGAATGGAGGCAGAGGAGCTAATCTGGGGCAGGCAAGTAGCAGGAGACATCTGCCCTGCCCCACAAGCTTTCCAAAACTTGCCAAAGGTGCTTCTAGCTTTCCTTTCTCCACCATGCCCTCCTGCTTGCATCTCCCCTTACTCTATCTCCCACCCCAGTTCTACCCCTTGGTGCCTACAGCTCCCCAGGTAAGGAAGGAACAGCCCTGCATGCTCTTGGTGGAAGCTACTCCTGCGCCCTCAGGGGGCAGGGGGTGCCGCAGCCAGGCCATGCAGATGTGCAGATGTCAGAGGGCAGCACTGATCCCATTTTGTGGGGAATATCTTAGACCGGAGCTCTGGTCACAGTTATTTTGGTCTTCAGAAATCTGGGGTGCTGTGACCTCCGCTGGATCTTTTACTCCAAAGCAAGAAGGCTGGTTACCATATCACAAAAGCAGATTGTCAGGCATCTCTTGTCTGCAAGTGCTACCATCCAAACGCAGTGCCTCATGTTCCCTGCAGGTCCCATAGCAGTTAGGAACACTGGCAAGCAGTGGTTCTGACATCAATTTCTAATCACACTCCATGCAAGAGGGCCAATCCATATGCTGGAAGGCTGGAAGGCAAATGCAAGGAATAATGAACAATCTCAGAAGGATGCCAGCAATAACAGCAAGACTGGGGGGACAAGAGTGGAGTGCAATAAAACAATTAGGAAGGTGGTAATTATTAGTCTAATGAGGTATCAGGTTGAATTGTAAAAGCATCAAGATTCTTTCACAGAGAGATATAACTGATGCAATATTCATCCTCTGGGGTATTCTCTTGGACAAAATACTTCCTTTCCAGCAAGACAAACAGAAATTTGATTAGGGAAAATGTAGCCTGTATCTCTGAAACTGCCCAGTGCTCTCTTACCACCTGACCTGAGATCTTGCAGAAACGCCCCACAGAACAGCATTATTTGGAAGGACACAGGAAGCGATCGTCTACCAGGTCTTCTGAGGACTCCTTATCTGAGAATATCGCGCAAGGAGACCTGTTGGGAGGGAGTGGCCCTGCTTAGATGTGGGAGAAGATCATCTCCAGCCCGCTGTCCAGAAAGGTAGGGGATTGCGAGACTGAAGCTCAAGCTATAGTGAGCTGCATTACTCTTTCTGCCTTTCTCTTTCGAGTTTCCTCCAGCCCCCATCCCCTCTTACCCACTCCCACACTCATCCTTTCTCTGGACATCCTGGCACTTTTCTAATCTCTCTTCCACATTCACCTCCCAGATCATCAGTGGTGAAGCAGCCTCTCCAGCTGATTGTCTCCCCACCCATCCTTTTTCCTCCTCTGCCTCCTCAGCCCTCACTGCTTTCCCCATGACCCAGGACCTCTGTCCCCTGGACATGTCTTGGACGCCTGCCGGGGGTCCTGCTTCTGCAGCATGGGGAGCAGGCAGGAGGCTGCACAGCTCAGCACGGAGCATCTTGGAGTCACTAACCTGATTTTCTCTGACCACAGCCGAGAGCCCAGCTCACCCCACTGAGTCCAGCCTTCCTGGAGATGGAGCTGAACCACACTTCCCTGCCGCCCGCGCAGTCCACCTTACCGGACGAGGATCCCGGGTGTGTGATGGACACCTCTGCTGCGGTCCTGGATGGTGCCACGCTGCTCATCTGCCCGTGCGGGCTGGTGGGAAATGCCGCTGTCCTCTGGCTTCTCGGCTTCTGCATTCGCAGGAATCCTGTCACTGTCTACATCCTCAACCTGGCCTTTGCAGACTTCATCTATCTCCTCTTCATGCTCACCTCAGCCCTCTTATACATTGTGGAGGATGTTTCCTGCTCGACTTTAAACTTCCTGGAATACCAGAGGCCACTCTTCCTGCTGTCCCTCTTTGCCTACAACATGGGCTTGTATCTCCTGACAGCCATCAGCATTGAGAGGTGTGTGTCTGTCCTGTTCCCGCTCTGGTATCGCTGCCGCCGCCCTGAGCGCCTGTCAGCCATCATATGTGCCTTTCTCTGGGCTCTTTCCATCTCTGTAATTGCTGCAGTGACTTCTCTCTGCCTGTCTCATCCACATGAACACTGCCAGCTGGCTCTTGTCTCCATGTATGTCTTCATTTTCCTTATTTTCATCCTACCCATGGTCATTTCCAATGTGATCCTGTTCATTAAGATCCTATGTAGCTCCCAGCGACGTCAACGCAAGAGGTTATACATCGTTATCTTCCTCACAGTCCTCTTCTTTCTCATCTTTGCAGTTCCCCTCAGCATCCAGAAATTCCTACAGCAGTTTAACTACGATTTTGGCCCTTCCCAGGTTGTTTTCTTGCTGGTCTGTATCAACAGCAGCATCAACCCATTTATCTACTTCCTGGTGGGGAGCTGCAGGAGGCATTGCTCCTTGGTCTCTTTGAAGGTTGCCTTCCAAAGGGTCTTCGAGGAAACGGTGGTCACCACCACTGCCAGCTAAGAGACCACTGTGGCTAAGCTAGCTGCACCGGTTTCGTGCTCCATTGGCAGTGCATCAATGTGGCCGATTCCTCGGGTGCCAGGGAGCGCAGCTGACCTGCCTGCAGCTGGCGTGTCAGGAGGCCTCCCTGTCCCAGCTCTGGACTGGCAGCAATGTCCATCCTGCTTCCTGCAGCACTTTTCTCCTGTTTGCTATCTCGCTCCTCTGCACAAGAAACCTAGCTCTCCACTGGGTGTGTGTTGTTTGGGATTCTGCTGCTTTCCTCTGGCAGTTAAGCTCTGAAGAGAGCAAGGATAAATACGAAGGCTTTTGCTGCCCTCCAGTGTGAAAACAAGAAAGTGGAGATTTCAGGGAAGCTGTTCCGAGGAGGTGCATTTACTTGGAGCAGTCTCTTGGGGAAGGAGTGTTTTGAGATTTGGTGGTGGAGGGGCTCTGGCAACACTGCAGTGTGGCCCCATTGGCCCAGACTGGCTCCAGAGGTACTGTTCCTCTGAACAAAGATGTGTCCCCAGACACTGTGTCCCTGTCCTGCAAGATGTCCAAGAGCTCCTCTTCTGCTTCCCAGGATGGATGCTGCATTTGAAAATCCCAGAGCCACATTCAGAGGTGGCATAAAATACATTCAACATCCTAAGCCCTTCTACCCCATCCCACCTCCAGCCCTGCACAGGCGACCCCATGATCTGCTCCTTCTATTTCCAGCAACTGCTAGGGCAAGGGGACCTTCTGTCTCCTTGTAGTGCTCTGCTGACGTCTATAGTCCTCCCTTCACCCAAATACTCATCTCCCATTTCTCACTGTTGTATGACATTAATAAACAGCATTGTGTATCCTCAGTCTGCATTTTCTTTGTGTGTGTGTCCAAGTGCTCACGAGGTCCTAGGGGTTCTTTAGGGGTTCCACGGGTGACAAGGGACACATCCAGTTTCATCCACAACGCTGTGGAACCACTCAGAGCATCTGTGGGATGTCACCTGTAACCCAGAGTGCAGCAGGCCGAGGGGCACCAGGTCAGAGTGTAGGTATAGCCTAAATCCACCTGTCACCCTGTATGGGAGCCACATTTTGCTGGGGCGAGGCAGTCATGTGCCTGCTCCGCTCGGGGTCATTTCCAGGCCCCGCATCTCCACGTTCCCTTGCTCATCCATGCTGAGGAGAGGCACTGACCAAGAGGGCTGTGGGGCACCGGGATCAACCAGGCTGTCTCCTTGGCATCATGTTGGGTGCGTTGAATTGTGGCTCCTAGTAAAGCAGCCATTGTAGGGAGGAAAGTGGAGGCTGCTTGTCCCTGCCAACGCTAACCTAATCAGGGAGCCAAGCGGAAGGAAACAGCACTTGGGGGACCAGCTGGAGGTGAGTGTTGGGTGGTTTCTCTGTCAGCCAGTGTGGGGGTTATCCCACTTCGGGGAGAAATGGCCCCCTTGAAAAAACCCTATGCAGGAGCTTCAGGCAAGCAGGCCACAGGATGGCACCAGAACCTCAAGGACTCTCATGGAGGATGGGGGTAGTGGAGCGCAGGATGTGATGGAGCTCTCAAGAAGGGTGGTGGTGCGGGGTGCGAGACAAGGAGGGGCATCATGGGAAGTAGAGGGGGTAGGAGGTCATGGGACTTTCAAAGAGGGTGGCAGAGATGCAGGATGTGGTGGGGTTGTCACTCGATGGGACCTGATGAGTTACCAGCCCTGAATGAGATGGAGGGCAAGGAAGTGAGGAGGGTAAGCAGTGCAGCTCTGCAGTGTCTGCATGGCAGGTCAAAGAAGGGCAATGTCAATCCCCTTTGTCTCCTAAATGGCAGTGGGGGATGCAAGTCATGGCATGATGGTGCTTGGTCTGGAGGCAATCTGACACACCTCTGCCCAGCTGTGGGCAGTGTCTTTTCACCCTCTCGCCCAGCTCCAGAAGCCCCTGAATGACACCTGTGCTCAAGGCACCCCTCAAGGCAGCTATGCTGGGAAGGATCAAGAGCAGCTCTGTGCCTACCTACCCTGGGGGCCCAACGTCAACCCACCCAACTTTATGCAACTTTTGCGGAGGCACCAAAGTGAACTTGGATCCATGACTCCACTGGATCCCAGCAGAGATGTGAAAGTCCTGGAGGAGCTCAGTTTCTATCAATTGTCCTGGAGAGGGTGCTGAAATTGCTACTGTGCTGACCTGCCGTCAAGTGGCATGAAGTGTCCAGCTGACAAGCAATGCCACAGGATCTACCCTATTGGCTGCAGAGCACCCGCTCAGAGCATGGGAGATGAATCTTCAGTGCTCTGCTTTTCTTGCCTCAAGGTCCTCCCCCATCAGGCTGTGGCATGAAAGGGGATGCCCACTCTCCACTGACACTTCCAAGCAGTTTCTCTGCATTTTGGGGACCACTTGGGGTCCCAGTTCAATTTTCCAAGGCAGAAGCATACACAACTCATCCCAGCAAAGACAGGTGTGTCATGGAGCTCCTAATGCAAAATAAGTCTTCGTGCAGCCCCACCTGAGGTGTCCGCAGGGACCGTGATGTTTGCTTTTTGTGACTTTCTCCTCTAAAATGCTCACAGTACATTCCTGAGGTCCCTATCTAACTTCATGCTCTTAAAATGATTTAAGTGTCTGGCAGGATGGCCACTTTCAGAGAGTACTTCCACATCAGTTTAGCAAACTCTCCTTGGTAAATGAATCATGGGCATCTGTGGTTCTCCCTTTAGCAGGGGGCTTTTCTACAGCTTAGAGCTTGACAGTGTCATAGAGGCATGAGTCATGGAGGCCATAGTGAAAATAAAACTTTGCGCCCTGTTCCAAGAGACTCCTGGCCAGCCTGCCACCATGGGCTCAACATTCCTCTGCTGATGCAAAGATCCTTCCAGGAAAGCTCCTTGCTCTTAAGAAGAGCATTTCTTCCTCAGCAAGGACTGAAAGGGGCCTGACACATTTTATACACAGCTTGTGAAGACTCTTAACTTAATGTTACGTGTCGTGGCTCCCTGAGAAAATGGAGTGACTTTTTCTTTCATAACTGACTTTACAGGAAGGTTCAAGGTTCAGGTTAGGTATTAGGAAAAATTCCTACATGGAAATAGTATTCAAGCATTGGAACAGCATACCGAGGGTAGCAGTGGAGTCACCATCCCTGGCAGTGTTCAAGAAACATGTAGATGAGGCACTTAGGGGCACGGTTTAGCAGGCAGGGTGTTGAAGCATTTGTAGTTGGACTCAATGATCTTGAAGGTCTTTCCAACCATAATAATTCTATGATTCTATAAGGGAAATCACAGCGCTCCTTATTTTTGAAGGGTAGCTAGCTGACTTCTGGCTCTCTTCTACTTGACATACTTCCCTTGTACTCCCCCCACACATTAGAGAAGAAAAAGAAATACTCCAGCCTACCAGGATTAAGGCAAGGGGGAATTGCAGAAGAAGAGCCATTGCCATGGACTCATCTAGCAGTTTTTTAAAATATTATTTTTTTAATAAAAATTAGGGAAAATGTTTCCTGTGAAACTAGTAAAACAGTCTGGATGCATTGCATAACTCCTTAGCCACTGCTTTCCCACCTCCCCAAATCCAGTATGAAGCAGGTCAGTCTCATCTGAAGGGAGTTAGTAATATTTTTTTGCTATGGAGAATGAAAGTACTATATTCATTTATTCTTCTTCGCACCAGGACCTCAAAGCAAAACCCAGAACAAGCTCCAGATAACCAGCAAGTGCTTGGACACAAACTGAAGGCAACTCAGGGCTGTGCAATGCTGTTTATTGATATCAAGCAGCAGCGAGACATAGGAGAGGAGTTTCCATGTGAGATGAGGGCTGAGGGACATCAGAAGGGTCAGCATTCTCATCCAGTATTTCTAGAAATAGGAGGAGAGCAAAATCTGGAACAACCTGCATGGGATAGGAGGTGAGCCAGGGGAAACAGCTTAGGACGTTGATGATCTTTTACACCCTAGTCTGAACATGGGTTGGGGTTTCACAAATGCAATGTCCACCCCAGCCACCACAAGCTGCCCTACTCGACTACTTGTGTGAGATGGGAACATGGTCGTCTGAGGCGTGTTTCTGTTGTGGGGGGAATAGTACCTTTGGAACTGGTTGGGAATGAAGGGGGTGTAGAAGAGCTGTGGTCCAATGCACATTCTCCCCATTTTGCTTCTTTACCTATATTGACCTTCTACATAGTCCAGCCCTGACTTCCTCTAGGGAACAGAATTACATGTTGGTGATGGCCATGGGAAAATTAACACAGACAAATTTATTTAATCCAGCTAACTAAGAAAACCCTCATCCTTCATCCAGCAGCATGGAGGAAAACAGCGGAAAGACTTTAACAAACTGGGGCTAGTGTATCCACTGTAGCATCCTCCCTGCATTCTGGGTTATCTCCCAACTCCTCAAAGACTGTCCGGAAAGCGACCTTCAAAGAGATGGAAGAGCAATGCCTCCTGCAGCTCCCCACCAGGAAGTAGATAAATGGGTTGATGCTGCTGTTGATACAGACCAGCAAGAAAACAACCTGGGAAGGGCCAAAATCGTAGTTAAACTGCTGTAGGAATTTCTGGATGCTGAGGGGAACTGCAAAGATGAGAAAGAAGAGGACTGTGAGGAAGATAACAATACAGAGCTTTCCAGAGCGCTGCTGCTGGGAGCCACATTGGACCTTCATGAACAAGATTATGCTGGAGAAGACCATGGCTGGAGAAAAAATGAGGAAATTGAGGACATACATGGAGACAAGAGCCAGCTGGCAGTGTTCATGTGGGTGAGACAGGCAGAGAGAAGTCACTGCAGCAATTACAGAGATGGAGAGAGCCCAGAGAAAGGTACATATGATGGCTGACAAGTACTTTGGGTGGCGACAGTGGTGGGTGTTGGTACATAGGACAGACACACACCTCTCAATGCTGATGGCTGTCAGGAGATACAAGCCTATGTTGTAGGCAAAGAGGGACAGCAGGAAGAGTGGCCTCTGGTATTCCAGGAAGTTTAAAGTTGAGCAGGAAACATCCTCCACAATGTATAAGA